GCAAAATACCACGGTGGAAGCTGATTCCATTTGGCTTATTTAATTTGGATTTATGGCTGCGTTCATGTCATGCTAATATGATTGCCTCCGGCCCGGGCTCCAGGCATTCCAAGGCACTGCCTCTCAAGACTGAGTATAAGAGACTTTTAAATATCCACTAGTGTTTAACTTATGATGGAAACTTTTCATACTTCAATATTTTAGCAACTTATATGACTCCTTTGGAAATCTTAATGATATGTGGCTGTCACTTTAAGTGAGGTACTTTGGCTTTCTGTTATGAATAATCTTTTTATTTTTCCTATAAAATTGCCACGGAGCCGAGGTCTATTTATCACCCCCTGTGGAAGCGCGTGCTCAGCGCCACTAGGGGGCACTCTGTCTTTATGTTTTGCGACTCAGAATTTCCTTGACCCATATTTTGCTTTTGAACGTTCTGCGGTGCCCGAGTCTGGGGTTGTTTGCTTACTAGGCTTGAAAACATCCCCGCGGCAGGGGTCATCGCGGACACGCGACCTTGGTGTTTCCCACATAGATGGAGTGGCAGCCGCGCCGCCGCGGAGCCCCGCTGGGGGATGGATGCTCGGGCGGCCTTTCGGGAGGAGGGAAGTGCCCCGCGGAGAAGGGTCGTGACGGGGCTCGGACCGGCCGCGTGGGGTGCTGGCCGCAGCCTGGCCGCCCACGCCCACGCCCACGCGGTGGTGCCGTCTCCTTTTATTTCTTTTTTCTTACGGTTCGCCCATTTTCCCAGTCCTGTGGCCAAAGCCTTAGAAAGAATGACTTTTAACCCGCAAAAGTTAGGAAAAAAGGCCTTCCCAGGAGGCTGCCTTGGAATGGGTCGCGTCTGGAGCGCCGCTAGCTACCGATTCGGCCCTCCACGGTCACAGGAGGCTCTGTCGCCGCGCGCGGGCTTTCCTGAGGTCCCAGTGACTGCGTCTGTCCTGGCCTCCGTCCGTCCGCCCGGCTCCCCTGCATGCCTGCCTGCCTGGGGCTCCTCTCCTCTCCTCTCCTGCCCTGTCTGTCCAGCTGCTGCGGTTGCTAGGCAACGGCCTCCTGCGCCCCTGCTCCTCCCCTGGGGCTGTGGCCCTCCTTCCTATCTGGTGAGGGACCCTTTAGCTGCCCAGCGCTTTGTGGGCAGAGCGCCGTCCCCCACCAACGCGCCCCTCATCCTGCCGTGTCCTTGGCAGGGCCATCGGTGGTTAGATGCCTGGGGTGGCTGTCCACGTTTTCAGGAAGGATGCCGTGCCCAGCGAGTGGAGAACCCCACCCAGTCCCCCCTTAAGGGTCTGCGTGTCCTCCCGGGGGCGTGTCTGAGGCCCAGCTGAGTGCAGGCTCACAGCCAGGTGTGTTCCAGATAAAGGGATCAGTGACATAGAAAAGGAAGGGCTGTGAACGCGCAATCCTTTCTCTTTATTTGTGTTCTTCCTCTCTTGAAACACCAATGTAACTTGCCTCCTGAGAAGTGCACTGCTGGAGGGGACAAGTGGCTGCTCAGTGACACCTAGCGCAGGTGACAGACACTGAGCCCTGCTCCCCGGGCCCCTTCAAGCTGCTAAGCACATGGGGAGGTGATACTGGAGGTGAGGGGGTTGCTGGATCCCTCGATGCCCCAGTCTCTGTTGTTGCCTGCCTACCACCAGGTGGGGTGACTGTGACTGAGAAAACTCTCTGCTTTTGGGGACAGCCACGAGGCGGGGTGCCGGAGTGAGGAGTTCTCCGCCTGCCTTGGTGCTTTCTGGAGTTCCTGCTGCCCAGGACCACGCTGAGCATGATGTTTTCACAGAGGAGGTCTGGCTGCTCAGCACACCTGGAGCACTCTCTGGTGGGTGGAGAGGGGCGCTCCTGCTCCCTGGGGGGCACCAGAAGGCAGAGGCTGAGTCAGTCTCGGGTGGGTCCTCCAGTGATGGAGTGATCGGCCCAGTTGGGGCTTGCAGTGCAGGCTCCTGCCTGGTCTAGTGAGGTCCCAGCTTTGTCAGGCATGAGCATGTGGGCTTCTTGAAGCTAAATTGACAGAAAACTGGAGTGGACACTCGAGGTTTCATTGACAGCGGTTTCAGTGCATGGAGGCTGATTGGAGAGTAATAGAGTGTCAGGGAACATTAGTAAGAGGGCGTCAGATGGGAGGCAGAGCTGCAGCTGGAGGCCGCGCGCCCGTCTCCGGCAGTCAGCTCTGGCATCATGGAACCTTCCTATGGCCCCAGCTGCTCAGCATGGCTGTGGAAGACACATCGCGGGGTCTCCGCAGTCTTCTTAAAGTCCAAGACGTGCAGAGGTGCATTTGACCAGGCGCCAGGGAGGAGCCCTGCCTTGGGGCGCACTCAGGGAGGAAGGGCTTTGGGAGCGGGTGCCGGCCGTGGGAGCTCCCTGCCGAGCCTCGCTGGTGGCGTCATAGTGCAGCTGGCCGTGGTGGGGACATCATGGCAAACGTGACAGTGACTGCAGTCCTGGAGGTAGGTGCATTTTGTAGCCCACAGGTGAGGCCTGAGGACACGCTGAGCCTTGGGTTTGCAGCAGACTTGCCATTCACGTGGCCACTCCCTTTTGTTCTTGGTGCAGGTGGGTCACTTGATGCCCAGTGTGAGGTGACTTGAGCTTTCCCTGGAGGCCTGCTGGCCACCTTCCCAGCCCACCTTGCCATGGCTCCTGGCTGCACAGGAGACGCGGCAGCCTCACCTCGGGCCTCCGTCTTCAAGTCCTGCTCTCCTGCAGGGCTGCCTGGGGTGTTTTACATGCCCTGTGCCCACCCGCCTGCTGCCCAGGGCCTCAGCCACTCCTATGCTTCGGCAGTGGAAACCGGACTTCTTTCTAGGTACAGGAAGTTCTCTTGCACAGGGTGTGTGGTGTGTGCCCTGGGCAGGAAGCAGCAGCTCAGCCACGGCCACCGCGTGTGGTCCAGGTGGGGCTTCCCTGCCTGTGCTTCCCCGGCGCCGTCTTGGCTGTGTGTCCCCTGGCCCTGGCTCGCAGCGCGCGTCTGAAACATCTGCCCGGGCCTCCTGCAGGTGTTCACTCTCTTGGGGAGTAAAAGCGCATAGCAAGCCACCAAGCGAGGAACTGGTGCTGGCTCTGGGGACACGGGGGATGGCAGGGTGGTGCCCCAGTGCCGCTGCCCCCTGGCCTTGCGGCCGTGGGGGCACGCAAGCCTTCTCCTACACCTTGATGCCACCGCGTCCTGGCACCAGGCGCTCCTCGCCCAGGGGAGGCAGTGGGCCTGGCTCCTTAGCGCAGCTTTCTTTTAGTGCAGGATAATGGAGCCATTTCCTGTAATTTTTCCTTGTTACCCGAACCAGCCTGTGGAGCTTTCTGAGTCCTTGATTAGGGTGGAAGAAAACCGAACTCCCCTGGTTTCCCATTTCATCCTTCGCTGTCCCAGGAAGGGTGGGCAGCGGGCTGCTGCACAGGGCCCTGATGTCTGCAGAAGGTGTCCAGGAGCCAGGCTGCACTTTTGCTCAGAGGTGACCCTGTTCTGGGCAGCAGCACTCCCTGGAAGGTCTACTAGGCCCCCAGGATGGTGGAGGGCTGCTCACCTCCAGAAGCTGGGCTCTTCTGATACGTGTCTGGGGTTCCTGGCAACCACTGTAGGTGGCCTTGTCAGATGGCGTGGGGCTGGGCGAGTGGGCATTGCCTGGGGGTGCTGGACCATGAGCTGCCCCTGCAGGCCCGGGTGGTGGGGTCGCCCGAGTCGGGGGCTTACTCTGGCCCGGCTCTCTCCTGAACACCGTCCTTGAGCTTTCCACCTAGGATGGCCTGCAGTGCCTCTGTGAATTCTGGAAGCCACTGAAGTACCCTGGGCAGGTGCCGGCCCACAGGTGCTGCTGTGTGGTTTAGGGTTTAAGGTGGTGCTGCGTGGGGCTGCCTCCTCTTGTGGAAGTGGACTTTTATCGTGGCTGTTTCTGTTCTGCCGTGGTCTGAGCAGAGCGAGCTGCCCATCAGGCCGCAGTATTGAGAGCCGTACACTCGAGGATGGAGCCGGTGCTTCCCGTGCCGTGGGCCGTGGCACAGGCTGTTGGGGATTCCAGGGGCCACAACCGATGCCTTTGTTGACACTGATTTCAGCAGAGGCCTCGGGGAGGATGGTGGAGCCACGGTGTGAGGGTGACAGGAGGCTGGGCCAGGCCTGAGCCCAGTGGAGGTGGGGCCCACCCACGTGGACGTGGCCCTGTCAACAAGAGCCAGGCAGTGTGGGGGCTGAGGCCTGGGGCTGGAGGCTCTGCTCCTTGGGCGCCAGGCTGGTCACCCCTCTGGCCGTTCCCACTGCTCTTACCACTGGGGGCTACACCTTGACCTGTCAGCCTGGGCTTGGGATCCAGCCAGGCAGCCTCCACAGTGGACAGGAACTAGTGACCATGGCAGTGAGGGTGGGCAGTGGCACGTGTGAAGTGACCCCAGATGGGTGGATCAGCTCTCGTGTCACAGCAGATGTCAGCATCCATGAGAGAAGATGGAAGGTGTAGGAACAAGAAGCCTTTGCTGTGAGTGAGCGACCCGTGCCCTGCCTTGGAGTCAGCGCTCAGAAACTGTCCCATTTGGACTTTGCCTCCAGGCCACGTACTCTTCAGGTTTCCATGGCAACCACATTCCCTCATTACCTCATTTGCAGGAATTTTACAAGAATGTCACATAAGTGCCACAAGGTGTACACTTCCCAGACGCTGCTGGCCATCTCTCTGTCATGGGTCAGCGTGGCTTAGTGTTTGCCCTATTCCCCGAGTGGTTCTATTGCTTGTTCTATTTTTGTGACCCTGTTTTTCGCTAAGTGGGTTTGTGGTTAGCCACATGGGGGGGGCGAGGGAATGAGTTTATCTACAGCCTAAGTGAACTAAAGTGACTGTCCTCTAAGATGAAGAAGGTGGAGGCTCTGTGCCCCATCACCCAAGCCCCGTCACACCAGCACTGCTGTGGAGTGTGTTACAGACGGCGGAGTCCTGCATCGCGGCCCTGCCGGCCTGGGCTCGGGCTCCCTGGCTTCCTGGAGCCTGATGGCCCCTTGTGCTTCCTCCCAGGCTCGCCAGCACCCGCACGCCAGGATCTCGCTGCCACTCAGGACTCGCCTGTGGGACCAGGGGTAAGTCCCGGCCTGTGGGTGCACCTGCCCTTTCCAGCAGCTCTGGGCATGAGAGGACTCTTCTCTGTCCTCGAGGGGGTCTCTCTAGCCTGGGGCGGGGTGGGCAGGGAGTGCACCTGTCCCTGCCCGAGGCCTTCCCAGCCCCCACGTTCTGCCTGAAGTGGCACTGACTCACCATGGCCGCACTGCTCCCTGAAGCTGGCTGCTCTGCACTTTGCCCCCTTGGCCTGTGTCAGCCCTGGTGGGGAGTGCCGTGCACTGTGGGCGTGAGGCTCCCAGGACCAACAGCCTTCACTGTTCTCCCAAGAGGACTTTGGGGACAGACAGGGTGCCTAGGGTCGCCAGTGCCCACTGCTGATGGTGGTGGTCACGTAGTGCTGCCCAGTGTGCTGGAATTTACTGGGGTGGGCAGACAGCTCTTCCTGGCGGGGGTGCTGCCTCCTGTCTGAGTACGTGCAGTCCTGAGCTGCCCGTGAGGCTTGCCTGTGGCCCTAGGTGATCTCTGCTACTTTTTCTTCTTTTTTTTGTCTTTTTGAGATAGGGTCTCATGAAGTTCAGGCTGGCCTTTGTACCCTGGCTGGCCTGGCCCTTGCAGCGATCTTCCTGCCTCAGCCTCCTGAGTGCTGGGATTACAGTGGTGTGCCACCACACCCGCTGTTTTGGGAGAGGCCAGAGTTGGCTTGGTGGTCCTGTTGATTCTGAGAAGTGAAGCAGTTCCTTAGCCATGGCTGCCACCAGGGAGCCCTGCAGCTAGGAAGCTGGCTTCTGGGCCAGTACTGGGTTAGCTAGAGAGGCCGCTCTGTGCACAGCCCGGGGCCTGCCCGCCAGCCTAACCCAGTGCCTTCCAGGGGCTTCGGTGTCCCCCGAATGTCAGAGGCTGCAGGGCAGGGAAGCTCGTGACATCTTGTGGAGTCTGTCCTTTTTGTTTGTTTTGGTCTCGGGCAGCACTGAGGATGAAGCACACGAGGTGGCACTGAACTACACCCATGCCCTCTCCCACTTTTTGAAACAGTTTTTTGAGGCAGTCTTGCCAGAGTGCCCAGGCTGGCCTTGAACTTGTGATTCTCCTGCCTCAGCTTGTAACAGTGCTTTAGAGTGCCCGACCCCCAGCACTGGGGGTTGAGTTTAGGGCCTTCGCATTGAGCGGTGCCCCTACCCTTCTTTACTTGGTGGTTTGGGGCATGACCTTGCTGAGTAGCCTCAACTGGCCTGAGCTTGTGATGCTGCCACCCCAGCAGCCGGGGTGCCAGGACTTCGGGGTCCACAGCCCTGGCAGGCTCCTCGCATTGTGGGAAGGGAGCTGAAGGGACCCGAGGGATGGTTTCCATTCCTGGCAGGTGCTGCATGGTGCCGCTGTCTACTGCGCCTGCCCACTGCTCCTCCCCGCCCACCTGATTGGTCTTCCTCAGGGCCAGCCATGCCTGCTGAGGGGTGCATCCCCTGGGCAGCGTGCTCTAGAGAGAGACATGTGTCTCCAGTGGAGACGTATATGCGCCCCCCGCCCCCTGCCCCAGCCTTCCTGGGCAGCATATGCCCCAAGTATGAGCCTCTGTGGAGAGCTGCCTTGTGTGGGCACCGAGCCAGCCTTGCCCTAGAGCCCCACTTCCGCCCACTGTAGTGCTGCTGTTCAGGGCTGTGCCCCCTTTCCAGGTGGGGGGATGGAGGTGATGACCCGACTGCCCAGACCATGGGTGGTGAGGGGGGCGGCTCCCTCCCCTGCTGTCCATCTCCAGAGCCAGCCCGTGCCCGCCTGCTCTCTGCCTTGGTGGGCAGGCTCCTTCTCTGGGACAGCTGGATGGAGCCCATGGTGGTGGATGAGAAGCCCAAAGGTCCACCCCGGCCACCGACACTCTCCACTCGCTCTCCTGTGTCGGTGCCATGTCAGTCCAGGTTGTAGTCCAGGGAAGGTCTCAGAACCGGGTCTGTCCAGAACCAGGATGAGGGAATTGAGGAACGGTTGTAGGATCCTGAGCAGCTGACCGAGAGACTACAGCTGACCTCCCTTATGTAGCTGGGTCCACAGTTGTCACCCAGCCCCGTGTGTGTGTGTGTGTGTGTGTGTGCGTGTGTGTGCGCGTGTGTGTGTGCCTGGGACTGCAAGTGTGCACTGTGGGGCTGTGCGACCTGACCGGGAGCACCAGGTGCCCCAGCCTCACTCTCCTGCCTTCCAGTTGTCGCTTTCTCAGCTGGCGGCTTCCCCACTGTCCCCAGCTCAGCGCCACTCAGCCAGATCCAGTCCGAAGCCACTGGATGGTTCCCAGCCTGAGATAGTAAGTGTCCCTGGCCACGCACCCCATCACACGGTGGCTCCACATCCCCTCCTGCTGCGTGGAAGCCTGCGGTCTTTCAGCACCGCTGGGCCTTGGGAGATCCTGGGCTCGGTGTCGGTGGGGTGGGATGTTGCTCACCGTCACCTTCGGGCATCCCATACTGTGCCAGGGCGTGGCGTGGGGCTGGCTCGGGCACGGTGACCTGCGGTCAGCCCCACTGTCTGGGTGCTCAGATACTTTCCTTAGCCCCAGGGCATCTGGGGACCAGCGTCTAGACACTGGCCGGGGCCCGTCACAGAAGGACGCATTTAGGACTCGTGCTTTCTGGCTCAGCGGTGTCTTCTGCTATTAGCTTACTACCTCAGGCATCAGGTGTCAGTGACACTGGCCTGTCCATCAGATCGGGGATTGATTCTTTCTTTCTTTCTTTCTTTCTTTCTTTCTTTCTTTCTTTCTTTTTTTTTTTCTCACAAATTGGGTCACCATGCGAAATAAAGAATGCCCAGTTAACTATGAATTTCAAATGAAAGCAAATGATTATTTAGCGTAAGTGTTCCCTGGGGATAGCATGGGACACACTTGTACCAAAATTATTCGCTGCTGATGTGAAATTGCAGTGTAACGGAGCCTCTGTCCTAGTGGCTGAGCACCCTACCACTCGGCAGCGACTCTGCTCAGAACAGAGCATCCTTGGGGGTGTCAGCGGGGTCCTCGGTCGCCTCACCTGGTGGCCCTCATTTTGTGTAGGGGGACTTCCTGCTGGGGGGCAGGATCTCTCACCTGGAGGCTGACCTGAGCCAGACCCCTGTTGTCCTGGAAGACTGTGTCACTGAGCACCTACAGGAGCTGCCGTTCACCCCTCTGCACGCCCCCATAGTCGTGGGAGCCCAGACCCGGAGGTGAGGTGTGCGCGGGAGGAGTGGGACCGGACACGGGCTGAGGTCTGCCTGGCCCTGGCCAGCAGGCTGTTCGTGGGGCCCTGCCGGCTGTCGCCCTCTCCCAGAGCATGCTGCCTGAGGGCTGTTTCTGTTGCAGCGCCGGAGGCCGGCTCTCGAGGGCCACCATGGCACTCCTGCAGTCCTTCAGCTTCCCAGAGATTCTGGATGCCAGCCAGCAGCCCGCCGAGGCCGTGAGCCCTGCAGAGCCGGTGCAGTTCAGCCCTCAGAAGGAAGAGTCCGATCGCCTGCAGGGCAACGAGATCGTGCTGCACTTCCTGGCCTTCAGCAGGTAGCGTCCCATGGTTCCGGCCCGTGCCCTGCTGTGGCACTGCCCGAGGAGTGTGAATGCGGTCTGTCCTGGCTGCGTGGTGTCCGGTGCTGCTGGTGTCTGGTTTTTCATTTAATGAATGAATGAATGAATGAATGAATGAATGAATGAGTTCTTTGAAAGTTTTTAAATTGACATGTAATAGTTGTAGATGTTTAGGGGCCGCACCATGCAAATGTGGCGCGCAGGTACGACGCCTGGTGGTCACGTCGGTCATCAGCATTTCCTTCTCCTTAAGCCATCAGTGCTTTTTGTGCTGGGAACCTGGAAAACGCCAGTGGCCCTCACTTCCTTTTGGCTGGGACCCACTCAGGGCCTTTGCGAGTGCCAGGAAGCCTGCTCTACTCAGTGCGCTGCCCTTAGAATGTGGGCAGCGTTTGCCTGACTGCCCATGTCAGGGCAGCAGTGTGAGTGGTGTGTCCGGCCAGGGGGCCGTGATGCCCGAAGTGGCCGCTGACCAGCCCCTGGCTCGCGGAGGGCACAGCGAGCTCCTCCCATTGGCGACCCTGTGACCTGGACGTCTTCCCTGAACATGGGCATGTGCGTCATGCCCTAGGGCCCTGCTGTGGATGCCTAATTAATTCCGGACTGTTGTTGGCTTCAGGGTGGCCCAGGACCGCCGAGGAGCACCGTGGCCAAAGACTGTGTATTTCACCTTCCAGTTCTACCGCTTCCCACCCACGACCACACCGCGCCTGCAGCTGGTGCAGCTGGATGGGACCGGGAAGACCAGCTCGGGTTCCCTGTCCCACGTCCTCGTTCCCATCAGTAAGGACGGCTCCTTTGACGCCGGTAAGTGTTGGTGCAAGAGAGCTTTGCGGTACCACTGAAGAGGATGCAGCGGAAAGCTGGCCCATGTACAGGGCATGAGTGGGTGGGGCCGGCCCGCATCCTCCCCCTGCCGTGTCCCCAGTCCCCAGAGCCTGCCCCAGATGGGGTTTATTTTGAAGCCAATCCCAGGTGTTGTCATTCCATTTGTAAATATTTCCTTGTGAGGCTCTGAAATGCTGTCTTTGAAAAACGCAACTTCAGTATTATCCCTCAAAGAAATGGAAGCTAATTTCTTAATGCCGTCCCATGCGCAGCCAGTGGTAGCGTTTCCTCAGTCACTTCCCAGCCTTGGAAAACGCTTTGTTCAGAATCCAGGAGCACGTGGCCGGCCCCTGAGCCCCGCCCCGCGCTTTGCGGCTGCCGCGACTGCCACCAGCCGGTCTCTGCTTCCTCTTTAATTTCTTTGTTGAAGAAGCTGCATTATCCGGTAGGAGATCCTTCCCACAGTCTGCTTTTGTCTGTGTATCTGGGGCAGTGATGCTGGGAGGGTCACCCCGGTCACCTCTTTTCCTCTAAGTTGGGAGTAAAACCTGGTGGTGTGATCAGATGTGTGGTTTTGGTTTTGGCAAGAGTTCCCTGTAGCTGGCGGTATAGACGTACCTGCAGCCCTGCGACATCCCCGTGGCCATCGTGGCCGCATGTGGCGTGGGTTGTGGTTGCTGCGCAGAGGTCACACCTGCCTTAGGACACCTCCAAGTGGCAGCTGAAGCTTCTGTAGTCAAAGCTTCCCCCGCCCAGCTGTCTGGCCGCCTTGAGGGGTTTGCCCAGGACAGCCACGGTGGAATGATGACCTGGCTCTCTGGTGTCCCCAAGTGTGGGGCCAATGGCTTTTTTCCCTTTTTGGCTTCATTTTAAACTGACAGATTTAAACCACAATGGATAAAAGCGTATCTGAGAAGTTATTTTTATTGACAGGTTTCCTGTCTTTCAGCCAGTAACAGGCCTGATCAGGGATGCAGCCAGGGGCTGAACCTGCCTGCCTCGAGGTGGACGGTAAAGGGTGAGAAAAATTTATGTTCAGATGCGACCCCAGAGGTGGGAGCCAGACAAAGTTAGCGTCAGAAAAAAGAGGCCGAGAGCCCCAGGAAGAGCGGCAAGGGCCTGGAATCCCCACTACTCAGAAAGCTTAGGCAAAGGGGTCACGGCGAGTCTGAGCAATGTAGTGAGATCCTGGCTCAGAATTAAAGGAAACAGAGAGACAGACTTTCTGCAGATGGAGTGGGGGCCGGAGAGGCCCTGGGAGGAGAAGGTGGCGCAGAGGGGATGAGGATGTGTTGTGTCCATGCGTGGCCTCTCGAGGAGGGGGCCAGCACACACCACGAGAGTGTACCAATACAAATAACATTTCTACAAATCTAAGAAAGGAAACAAAAGGGTCAAGGATATAGCTTAGTTGTAGACTGTATGTCGACTTGTACAAGGCCCCGCGTTCAGTCCCCAGCACGAGGGGAAAGAAGACAAACGGCAAAGGCAGTGCTGGAGATGAAGGAGGCTGGGCACTAATAACTGAGAGAAGAGTTTCCTGGTCTGGGTTTGTAACTCCGAGTCTGTGAGCTGACACGACTTCGAGACAAAAGAAAAATGGATGGACTTTCGGCAGAAATTGACAGACCTACAACCACACAGTGATTTTGATATACTTTTCTCAGTAAAAATAAATATAAAAACTTAATGAAGATGTTATAAAATACAAGAGAACTCGTATATCCACTTTAAAGAGTATCTGTTACTTTCGAGTGTGCCTTGCAGCTCCTAAAGACTGATCATTTATGGTTCAGGCTGCCAGCAAGTCTCTTCTTCTACCAAGAGAGTTGATATTAAATCTAATTTTACAGCATTCTCTGACCTTAATGCTCCATCATCAAAAATCTGTCACTCCCTCCCTCACAAATGCTTGTAACTGCTATTGAAAAAAATTGAAATGTGCTCCAAAAAATGTCTACTTCTATGCGAAGGAAGGTGGCATATGCCTGCAGTCCCAGCACTTGGAGGTAGGAGGGTCACAAGTTTGAGCTCAGTGTGGGCAAATTAGTGATTTTTTGAGAGCCTGTCTTAAAAATCAAAAGGGCTACTATAGTACCTGCTTAGGGAGAATCAAGGACCATGGTTCGATTCCCTGGTGTGCTCTGCCAGCCTTGGGGACGCCCTGAGGCGGTGATTGAGACTGGGCGTGGTGGCGCGCACCTGTAGTCCCAGGGCTTGGGAGGCTGAAGACAGGAGAATCACTGAGTTCAATCTGTGTAGTGAGACCCTGCAGACCCTGTACCAAGTACATGAAAAGTAAATAAAAAGGGCTAGAGATGTGCTGCAGGACCTGGGCTCAATCTTCAACAGCACAAAACAAAAACAAACTTCTTATGATGGATCAATGAAGAAATCAAAATGGAAATGAATAATTATTTAAAACCAAATAACAGTATTACACATCAGAACATAGGAGACACAGATAAAATGGTTGTACTCATCAGCTTTCTAGTTTAACTGTCACACCCTGTCCCTTGTTCAACCTCACGCCCAAACATATCTCCTTAAGCTGTACTTGATCTCCAGATAAAGACAATGGTAAGTTCACGGCTTCCCCTAACTCCATCCCACTATCCTGAGTATAACTGAAAATGCAGTAATCCCTCCCTAAAGCCTCCACAGTTCCAGCATTGCTCAGAAGCCCAAGTCAAAGCACCCTCGGAGACTCAAGGCAAACTCTTAGCTCTGAACCTCTATGAAAAAACAAAAGCAAGCTGAACAAGGATTACACAATCCCCAGGTGTGATGCCCAGGGAAAACGTGGCTTTCCTAAAAGGGAGGAATAGGGTGATGGAAAAAAACGGGACCAAAACAGGACCGAAGGCCAGCAGGGCAGGCACGAGGTCCTACAGCCCCACACCCAGCATGGAGGCGCGTGGGGCGAGGGTGAGCTCCGGAGGGCTGGGGCGTCCCAGCTCTGTGGAGTTGGGGGTTGTAGTCCGTGCGGCCTCTGCCTTGGGCGGCTTCTCTTGCGGCCTCTGCAGCCCCCCACACTCTGACTTCTTGCGATCTCTCCTGTACCCTTGGCTCCGTCCCCACAGCTTCACCCCTTGGGGTGCTGCTGGGCCTCCCAGGCCTCACTTTGAAATCTGGAGGGAAGTCTGTGTGACCCCACAAGTCTTGCACTCTCCATTCCTGAAGAAATAGCCTCGTGTGTGGGGTGCCCCTGGAGCCATACCTGTAGCAGCCTCAGCGCCTGGATGTCTGAGCCTGGAAAGGAAACCTGGGGAGCCAATTCCAGAGGCCCTTGCCAAGCAGCGTGCTCGGGGGCTGTCCCTCAAATGAAAGCTTTACACTTTGACACCCTGGAATCTATTGTAGGTGGGGTCTCACTGATTCCCGAAATAATCTCATGGCATTTTTCTTCTTGTCCCAGTTCAAAGCACTTGGTCTTTTAAGTGACACTGATTTCTTCAGCAGCTGCACCTCCTTGGACCCAGCTTTACATGTGGTTGTTTGGGGGCCAAATTTAAGTTTTTCTAGCATTTCTGTTCTGTTTTCTTTCTTTTCTTTTCTTTTTATATTTTAGGGAAGGGTCTACAGGGTGTTCAGGATCTCGCTACTAGATTGGACTCGTAGTGATCTGCCTATTTACAGCCTCCCAAGAGCTGGGATTACAGGCATGCGCCACAATGCCCAGTCTCAATCGCTGTCTCAGCGCACCCCAGGGGCGGGGCCAGCACAGCAGGCCCGGGATCGAACCCCCAGCCCCTGTGCCTGCTTGCAGGCGCTTTAATCTGCTGAGCTATTTGGCTGGCCCTGCTATTGATCACAGCTCTAACTGTAAATCTGGATAAAAGCAGCTAGTGTATCCGTGCCACTGCCTGAACGTTGGGCCGCCTTGACATTTCTTGTCAGATCATTTAGTCCATGTCTCTTACATTCAGCTTCCCACAAACTCTTCGAGTGCCAAACATGGGCGAAACGAAGGCGTTTCTTTTCCTGGAGTATCCATGGCTTCCATTCCGATGTCTAATAAAACCCAAACTGTTCTAAGCTGAAACCTCCAGAGCCGGGCCTTTCCTGCCCCCTCTTCTCGGCCTTCTGGCCGTCTGAATTCCTACCAGCACTGCCTGTCAGGCTCAGCTCGAGCGTGCCGGCACTTTTTTAGCCAGCATCTCCAAGCCTTTCCAAGCTTCATGGGAGCCAGCGGTGGGTGAAGGCTTCTGGAGGCCGTGGCCCGGTGTAGCCACACAGTGCATTGCCCCAGTACCAGTGCTCTGCGTTAGTTTTCTTGTTGCAGGTTTGAAACACCCGACATGGGTAGCTTAAGGGAGGAAAAGTTTCGTGTGGCTCATGCTTTCGGAAGTTTCCGTGCTTGGCTGGCTGGCTTCAAGGCAGGACCATGTCTTCAGGTCCTTCCACCACAGAAGTAGGCTTTACTAATCCTGTAGGTGGCTCCCAGGTGGTTACCTTGTCAGCCTAGGAAAACTATGAAAGGTACCCATAGAGAATTCACAATTTTTGATGTCTGTGATGGGAAAGAAGAAAGTATTCTGTAAGAGACTGGTTCACCTCAGAGGAACAAACTCAAAGCAGAAGGGAGCAAATTCAAAAATGAGCGTAAATGCTTAGAAAACAAACAGAAAGGATTGGCCGAGTGATAGCATAGGGGCGTTGGGCTCCTGAGAACCCTGTCTCTTGATCATGCTCAGAATTAATTGAGTCAGGCGGTAAGGATCAAAATGCCACCGTCCTTTACATTTATTTATAATGAAGTGGCTGTGGGAACATGGTTAATCTGAGAGCCTGCTTATGCCCACCCCTGAGTCTCATGACTGTGGCGTCCCTGGAGATGGGCACCAGCAGCGGCCTGTGCTCTGGGGCCCAGTGGGGGTGTCCTTGTGCACTTGTAGGTCTGCCTGAGGCAGTGTCCCTGGATACCTGTAGGTCTCAGGCTGCAGCATCAACCCCTGTGCAGACCTGGACGGAGGTGT